AAAATTGGGGTGAATTCTTCTGTGGCCCTTCTATTTGAAAATACGTGTCCAAACCTCAATTCAGACGAGGACTAGAAGGAACTAGCAAAACTATCTGGGTACAAAAACGGGAGCTCAACTCGTAATGGACCTAGGACGTTGATATCGCCTGCAAATGATCTGATGATCATCGGCCAGGTATGAATTTCTATATAACCTAACCAAGTACGGTTTGGCACCATTTTTTACTAAGTACTAACTTAAGCTTCAAAGTGAATGTGGTGGAGCACCACACTAGTGTAAGGTTCTATTTCAGATTATCACCTTGATTGACTGGGCGTCCACTTTGGATCTAAATCCGACCGTCACCTCATTGAAAATCCAACATTTGTCGTTTAAGTAATTAATCTATGTGGATGATATTGATGACAAAAATATTATTTTAATGACGACGTGACCATACCTCAACTTGTTAAGATACATCATCTTTATCGATACTTTGAAAGTTCAAATTGCTACTCACATATATTATCGAACTAAAAAAATATTATTATTTTAAATTGGTCTTTATTTTAAAATAATAATAAAGTATTGATTTTTTTTTTTTTTTAGAAAGATAAAGCATTGAAACTTACCTCTAGTGTAGACTTTTATTTTTGTAGGGATTTAATGATGGATTAAAATAAATAAGAAACGTGTAACGTAGGACATAAAATAACATAATATTCAACTGCTTTTAATTCCATAAAGAATTTAGTCAAAAGCAAGATTTTGGTCCATTCTACAATGATATTTAAATTTCTAAAAAAAAAAATTCTTCTTCTTGAAGTTTATTATCTTGACCAAGTTGAGCATGGAAAGCTTCTATCCTATCAAAATCTTTGAAGTATAAATCAAAACAGAGTATAAATTTAGATACCCAAAAAGTTGCATTATTTAATTGATCTACACATAACATATTTCATTGCAACATTAAAAAAAAAATCATTATTTTTCTTACAAATATTTGGATTGATTTAGATGTAGTTAAGCTCCGTGAGCATTTGTCAGTTTTAAAAAATTTAAAGACTATAATTAAATAAAAAATTATTAAAAGTGTAAGAACTAGAACCACATTTAATCTTATATTGAGATTTATGAAATGTTGATAATATCCTACTTAATAGGATTGTCATCTTTTTATCACTAAATATATAGTAAAAAATAATTTAAAAATCTCTCTCATTACAATAAACATACGACTTCAAGGATAAGGTAAAGACAATGAATATATTCCCCGTCTCCATTTTCGAAATAAAATTAGAGGAAAGAAAATGTCTCATTTCTAATTCTCTTTATCCCCGCTCTAGATATATAGCAAAAAAATTGTCATTTTAATAATTATGAGAGTAGCAGTCATATTACAACGATGACACTTTTTTCCCTCTCTAAGTGTCGAGTTGGATAGACAACCATACATATTTAGGGAGAGCTCGTGCATCTTATGACAAATTATATATGTCAAATGTTTGGTAGCTTAGGAACATATGAAGAGAGAGCCCAAATGGGACATAAAAAATTGTTCTCTCAATATATTAAAGTGTGTGGAAAAATCTTGAAATACCAAAAGAATAAAATGTTAATGTTAGATTTTATCATATTGAAATCAATATATACTGTTATAAGTATGTTTCATCCCGTAGAAGTTGACGTTGCATTTTGATACGTAACATAATTGTATATGTATACTTATTTTTAAAATCATATCGTGTTAACAACATAACTGTAGTTCAATAATAATTGACATTTATTTGTGACTAAGAGATCGTGAGTGTACCAAAAAAGAAGTTTTGAAAATACAACTACTAAAATAAATAAAAATTGAAAGTACGTGAACTAAAATAAACATTTTTTAAAATATCAAACCGAAATAATATTAGAAAATTACCTCCCTGCCCCTGCCCGTAATGTGTTAATGGGATGCCCGTCGGCAGAAAGTGAGTGTTCATCTTGTTGTTGTTCGAGATTTTCGTGGGTCGCCATCTCTCAATAAATACTTGGATGAATGAAGGAGAAGGACACCTCTAAACTAAAAAGTTGACATTGAAGTTTGAATTTCATTTTTCTAATTTCAAAAGTTGACTGAGAAATATTTCTTTTTTTCAACTATAGGTTTAATAGGAAGCTAAAAGAATCAGTTATTATACCTACATACATTAATTTTGAATTTTGAATGAAGTTGTGATCATAATTGGCATTTCCTTTACACAAATTTATTCCATCTTTTTTTGTTCGAAAAAAAAAGATAAAAATTCGAAAATTCAAAATAAAATAATATTTAGGATTTGTGTGATGCCCATTATGTTTCTAAAAGATATTTTGACTTATAATATTTCGAAATTGGTTTTTGAAATTTAATAGTTTTAGGGGGAAAAAAACATATTTCATAAGATATCAGAATTTTTTTCGGATGTCAAAAGCTTTTTTTTAAAAAAAAAAAAATTATTAACTAATAAAGGAAATTGATACTGAACAAGTTTTTTTAATTTAAAAAACAGAAAGCGAAAGACAAACGATTATCATAAGACCCCTGCTATTTGCATTTATTTTTCAGGTAACCATATTTCTACCTAATAAATAGGTCTAAGAATTGAGGTTTAAATACTATTTTCGTCTTATACTTTTAAAATGTTTGATTTTTTGACTTTCTATTTTTGTTCATTTTAGTTCCTGTTGAATCATAAAGTTGTCCAACTCAACGAATTTCGGCTCGAGCAGGTGAGCTGAACCGTGACCTCCTGAAACTGGACCTGCGAGATAGTGAGCACTTCGATGCTAAAGTCAGTAAAAGCCTGAGCTTAATGAGAGAGAATCAGGATGTTCGCATACTTTTAAATGAGGGAAATGATCCTATTTATAGCCAGGACCTCCGACAGCATTCCCGACACAGCTTCAACGGCTCTTTAAGGTTACTGTGAAACGCGGCGTACTGTCGTGGAGTTTGTCGGAGGCGTGACCAAGTTGAAGAAAGCCAATCGAATCGCACATTTTTGTAAGAACGTAAGTCAAAGTGAACTTGTTCGGCTCGGCCACTTATAGGTCGAGTCGAGGAATGAATACTTGGCCGTTATTTTTCGAGCCATGTGTAACAGTTTGTTCATCCACTCAACACTTGCCACGTGTGTGCTTAAATCAACCTCCAACAGTTCCTATACATTTTTTTTAATAACTATTTTGGTCACCATTTGCAAAATGTTATTCAAATTTTATAACGAAAACCATTTAATACAAATTTATTGTTATGTTTCAAGAAACTTATTAAAGGTGGTGTATTGTTGAAATTGTGACTAGAAAAAGATTAAAAGATTGAAATAAACGAAAAAACTAAAAAAATAAGGATGAGAATAAGTCTCTTACCATTTAAAAAGAAAGCAAATGGTCCTTTTTACTATTATTGGAAAGCACTCCCTCTAAATCCTTAAAACTTTTTAAACAATTTTCATGGTGCCTTTTGCTTCTCTTGATTGGATCTAAGCCCAATGGAAATGAAGGCATGTGTTCTAATATATTCCTTCAAGTGTTAGAGAATGACTCTCGATTGAATAAATGCCACTCAAATAGAATTGCCCCCCACATAAGACAGCACCATAAGGATTTTCTGTTTATCCCCGTGGATTTTCTTTTTTTCTTTTTCTTCTAACTTAAACTAGAAATTCGAATATTTGATGTATAATATATTATTTCCTCTATTTTTATTTCAATTTAATGCATTAACTTCTAATATTGAAACTTTTTTCATGTTGCATTCCTATTATTAGACAAACACTCTATTGTAAATGTTTAATAAGGTGTTGACACCAATTCGAATAAAATCATTGTCATTATAATAACAAGAAAGAAATTTAATCTTCCTAGATAAGATATAAAAATTGATTGAATGATATGTATTCAGTCACCTCCAATTTCAGATCAATGCTAGTTGTCCAATTTGAAGAACAAAAAGATTTGATGTTACAAAGATAACATAATTTTTTGTAACTTCATATGGTGGTTGTTAATTCTTAGTATGTGGTGATTCGAATTTTGCTTGGTCCCATTCAAAAGGCCCCCGGTGTAATTATTGCATCTAAGAAATTTATAAAGTTAATGATAGTATACACAAACAAACGTTTTACACATAAATGTGGAGTTGTGATTCGCATGGAGGTTGATATTGCCATTCGAAAGGATATGCTCAGATGAACCGATGCGAAGAGTACTAAGATAGATTCAATATAATCATTGGAGTCCTCGTATTTGTTTTGTTTTCTTGATTTAGTGAGTTTCTCCTTATAATCTTCCTAATGATATAATATTGTCGACTTTTTAAATTCAATAATGATTGGACAACTTTTTAGATGAAAATAAATACCTCAATTTGACGATACAGTATTGTCAACTTTGAACTTCAAGCCCACATAACTTTTATTTTGAACTCTACTCTAAAGGCCTATAGCTCTCTCCAAGTTTTCTTCCATCTCCCTCTATCACCTTCTAGTTTGATTGTTTTTTTTTCTTTCATTCTTTTGGCACCTATTAAGGTTAGAATAAAAACTAAGTTTACCCCAAATCATTAGTTTAATCCACTCTTCTGAAGTATTCTTTTAACCACCTTAGACGCTGCGGCATATAGGAGGTTGGCACTACCATACCAACACAATTTGAATAACAATTTGAATGACAATGATGTTAAGGATAACAAGTTCTACATATCTCGATAATGATATAATATTGGATATAAGTCTTTATGATTTACTTTTTTATATCACTCAAAAGACCTTGTACCAATAAAAATAACTGTCTCGAAGTATGTATCATGGAATAACCCCGACCTAAGAATATTATTCAAAAAAAAAATCTAGGGCGAAGAGAGTATCTTTTATATGACTAGAAAAAAAAAGGAAATGATGTCTGGAAATTTAGGAATAAATTGCAGTTCATACCAACCTATAGAGGAGAGGAGAGGGAGGAACGAGGAAGCGCATGTGATTGTGAAAATGGAGGAAATCTGTACAGCCATGTCAGGCAAATCTTTGGCGTATACTTGGGCCCTGCATCAACTTAATTGGTCCTTTCTGTAGTAGATATTATATCTTTGGTCTTTTCAAATAAGATATCTTTCATTTACAATCTTCCAAAACGAATCTACAAATACCTATTTAACAAGCGGAGCCGAGGGAGAACTATTGTTAACTATTCAGGATGTTTCAATTTAACCTACAAACTTTTTATATTGGGAGATAAATGGCACTTTGTCTCACCGCTCACGTCTCTTTAATCATATCATTATCCACCTTATCACTTTGTTTTCAGACACTACAAAAAAATATTAACTTTAGAGATTCGATTGCTCTCTAAACTTGGTTTGTTAGTTGTGTTACTACTGCCATTTGTACTTCCTACTTAATTATCCCTTAACTCTCAAAATTGTCTTCAGATTGGGGAGAATAAACTCACCGGGGCAAGATTTCCCAGCTCTACAAGCTTAGGTGGGTCTAACTTCTAGGATTATTATGGGGCTTCTCTAATAGCTACTGATTTATTCCTAAAATATTGAAAATTGGAAGGGGCAATACTATTAGATTTCCAAGTGATTAGCATGACCATATAAGATGGCTTGCTGACTCTAAAACGTAATTTATTTCTTCTGACTACACATTCTACCACCCCTCACCTCTGTCAAGTCTACAGAGAAAATTAGGCCTAAAGTTCAAAAGGAAAAAAATTTTAAAAAAGAGAAAAAATGGAGACAGTAAGATCCAAGAGCATCCAAAAAGCAGAGCACTTGTCCCTGGTGAACAACACCTGACTTTACGTACCAGTTACCATAAAAGGCAATTACCGACCATTATGTGCCACAGGGTTACTAAACAAACATAGTTAATAATTTAATAAACTCAAAAGGAACACCGGTAGTATTATCACAGACGTGGTTTCTCCAAAACATAGAAAAACGTCACCTTTTTACTAAGTGATACCGCGCTTGGATATTCGAGGAATTCAATTCCCATGGTTAAACTCAATACTTATAACTCAGAAAAAGCCTTCCATTCCGGAGATACGCTAGAATCTAGCTATGGAAAGGCCAAGACGATGACGGTAAAAGTAAAACTAGTAGAGAAGTAGAACAGAGTTGAGTCAACTTAGCTGGTCTGGTGCTTTACCACGAGAAATCCTTCTTCCAGCTTACTTCGTCGTCACTGAAATAGAATCCATCTTCCATAACCAGCCAAGAGCATTTCCTGAGAGGACTACAGCGATAGATATCTCTTGGTACCTTGAATGCATCAAAACTCTTCCTCGTCCGGTCCAGTTTGACCGTGCATGAGAATTGAGAGGTTGTAAAAATCCAGAAGTTGGTCCTGACGAGCCAGCCGAAATCATCATGCTCCTGGAGCGCACGCCCGCCAATATCATTGTCTTTGGACGCACACCATATCACCAGAGGCAGTGAGGAATTGTTTGTGAAGCCATTGATCACGCGGACTTCGTATTCTATGCCATACAGTTGCTCTGCAGGTAACAATGACACGAAAACAGTGAAGAATGGGAAGAAAATGAGCATCAGAATGCTAATGAGAATCTTCATGAAGTAAAATTGCTGGTGCAAGTGATGGCAGTCTTTCTCAAGCTTTATACGGTCTCATCTCATCTCAAAGCTAGTTTTTCTAAGAATGGTAATTCTAGACCATTTACGTTCTATGAAATGAATAGAGAATGTACTAGTTCAATGAAATGCACTTTTACTATTTCTATTTTGTATTGATAAATATTTAGACTGTATTGAAAGAAATGGTTGTGAATATTTAGATATCAGAACCCTATTTTGTCTTTTCTAGATATTCTCGTAAACAAATCAAGAGAGGATTATATGCTTCTCCATTAATGTGATACGTGTTCTACACATCGAACATCTGGAAGAGAACTATAAATGCACACCCACTAGCCGGGACGCGGCGCGTGATTTTTTAGGACTTTCTTTACGCAAATGATTAAAATCTTGATAACATTGTATTCAAGTTAGCCCCTGAAGAAAATGGCAGTGCAACTTATTTATCACGCCGTGGACTAAAAAAAAATGTTAGTGTTCATGAGTTGATTATAATTGTTTACTTACTTCGATGATGATTTTCTTTTTAATTATCTTGTAGTCCTTTTTTTAGATACTTTATAAAATTCTAGCCCAAAAAAAAAAACTAATTTTCAATAACCTATTTTTTATTTTTATTTTTTAATTTATTAAGACTAAAAAGTGAAAATTTTAGACAAAAGAACTGGTCAGTCAACAGATCTAATTTTTAAAAATAGAAAACTGAAAAAATCATTACCATTGAGAATCAACTACCAAACTAT